TTGTGAAACACTCCTCAATTCGCATTATGTTAGCTCTTGTTGCACAATATGATCTTGAACTTGTGCAACTCGATGTGAAGACGGCTTTCCTACATGGTGATTTGAATGAAGAGATCTATATGTGTCAACCGGATGGGTATATAGTGAAAGGGAAGGAGAATTTGTTTTGCAAATTGAATCACTTTATGGCTTGAAGCAATCTCTAAGGCAATGGTATTTGAGGTTTGATAAATTTATGAGAGGCCAAAATTATTCTAGAAGTCAATATGATCATTGTGTGTACTTCAAGAAGTTGCAAGATAGGTCTTTCATTTATTTGTTGATATATGTTGATGATATGTTGATTGCCTCAAAGAATGTTGAAGAGATTGAAAAATTGAAGAAGCAAATGAAGAATGAGTTTGAGATGAAGGATCTTGGTGAAGCGAAGAAGATCCTTGGCATGGAGAAGGGTTTGGTTAGTTTGAATCAAAGACAATACCTTGAGAAGTTGATTCGGAAGTTTGGAGTTCATGATTCAACCAAACTGGTTAGTACCCCTTTGGCTCCTCATTTTAAATTGAATTCTCTACAATGTCCTAAAAATGATAAAGAGAAGCTGCAAATGAAAAGTATACCATATGCAAATTTGGTTGGTAGTTTGATGTATGCAATGGTATGCTCTAGACCGGATATTGCTCATGCAGTTGGCATGGTGAGTCGATATATGCATAATCCAGGTAAAGAGCATTGGCAAGCAGCTAAGTGGATATTGAGGTATCTCCATGGTACTCGAGATGTTGGTTTATGCTTTGAGATGGATGACTCTGGTATTGGTCATTTTGTAGTTGGTTATGTTGATTCAGATTATGCAGGTGATCTGGATGGAAGGAAGTCTACTACAGGCTATGTGTTTACTATGGCTAAAGGACCAGTTTGTTGGAGGTCCATTTTGCAGTCGTCTATTGCCTTGTCTACTACAGAGGCTGAATATATGGCAGTTGCTGAAGCTATAAAGGAGGCCATTTGGATACATGGGCTGATTAGAGATTTGGGGGTTGATCAGAAGCAGGTGGAGGTACATTGTGATAGTCAGAGTGCCATTTATTTGGCTAAGTATCAAGTTCATCATGCGAGGACCAAGCACATAGATGTGCGTTATCACTTTGTTCGTGAAATTGTTGGTGAAGGGGAAATCATTCTCCAGAAGATTCCAACTAAAGACAACCCCGCTGATATGTTGACTAAGGTTGTTGGTGTAGCCAAGTTTGTTCACTGTTTGAACTTGGCTCACATTTTGCCTATATAAAGAAGGCGTTGAGCAGTAGGAGTTTTAGAGCATTTGGCTCGGCATGAGTTGTTCTCTTGCTAGTGTTTGGGAGTGATTTTTTGGGTCAATTGTGTTGGTTGGCTTATCATGGCGTTTTCGGAACTTGGCCAAGGAACCTCGTTAAAATCTTGGTGTTCTTTTATATTTTGTTCTTTCATTTTCATTTGATAAATTTCCTGGGTTAGTTTGAGTTGGTTCCAAAAAGGTTTGGTGCTATCCTAGCACAACACTGTCCTCTACCACTATCCACACCCAGAGCAAAGAATGGAGGAGCGAGAGGCCAATGCGGACGCGACTAGGTCTAGGTTCAAGGCCCATGTAGTGAAAAATGCATACGCTGGAATTACGAGCAGCGACGCCAGGAGGATTTACAGAATGACGGAGAAGATTAGGGAGAAGAGGTTCGAACTTCTAAGAGTTTGGGATGAAGTCTTAGGCTAGGAGGTAGAGGGCGATGCAGATGGCGTCAACGTTGAAGACCTAGAACGCGATTTGTGTTGTTGACAACCCAGAACGACGACGGCTCGGGAAGATGGGATGGGATTTGATTCTTGATGGGGTTTGGAGGTGATGAAAGTTTGGTTTTGGATTTGATTTTTGGGGGTTCTGGAGGTGGGATGAGATTTGATTTTGGATTGGATTTGATTTTTTTTATTTTGAGGTCTAATGGGATCGGTGCCCTCGAACGGTTGATGAACGGGGAAGGAGAAAAAACGGAGATTAACGGCTGATGCTTCCCCTTGCTGACGTCTGCTATTTGACGATGTGGAGAAGAAGACAGGGATGGCACGAGACTAAGTTTGGGGGTTTCAGAGCAGAGAAATGGTTCTGTGCTTTGGGTTCAAGTCTTTGGCAAAGGATGGAAGCTTTCACGGATTGTAGATAAAAACTGGATATGTGGCTTGGGTTTGAGAAATTTAGGGAGGAGATTGTTTGGTTCTGATGGTGGAATTGAGCGGTTTGGTTCTGGGTGGTTTAGTTTTAGGTAGAGATTTAGTTTTTTAATTTTTTTTAAATTTAATGGTTTTTTTTTAATTTTTTAATATCCACGTGGCCCATATTAACATGTTGCGTTCAATCATTGTCCAAGTGAGTACCACGTCATCAGTTAACAAAAGTTCTAACAAAAAACTTAACAAATGTATGAAATTGTCCAAGAATTATGACTTTAGGTACCAGACTAGGATGACAAAAACTTGATGTATGAAATGTTGAAATCCACGAAACTTCAAAATAATAGACTGAGATTAATCCTAAATATTATGTAACAATTTTATTTTAATTAATTAAAAAAAGAGCAAGTTTTATTCATTTATGAGTTTGACTTTGTATTACGTACTTGCATACTACCCCACACATCACACCGACAACCTATCCATCTCTCATCGGAGCCAACAACTCCCTTTCTGATCTGGAATCTTGTATAATGTTACTGATATAGGTGAATGAGGTTGAGGTTTACTATAAATTCAATTAGCAATATGGGGAGTATCATAATTACTTATAAGCACATGCAAGGTCCTTCCACACATTAATATGGGATTCATTCTCAACACGCAACCTCACGTTTGACGAATTTTCAAGCCTAACACGTGGACAACACAACTCAGTTGACGTGGAGCACGTGTGGCTGTTGAGCTTCACCCGTGGAATAACCTGCTCTGATACCATGAAGAAAGTTGGGGTTCCACTATAAAACCAATTGTAATATGAGAAGTAACCCAACTACTAATTATAAGTATATGCAAAGTCCCTCATCTCATCAATACGTGAGATTCATCTCCCCAATAGGGTGCTAGGCCCCAATAAAATTAAGGCCTAAGGGCTGATTTTAAGGAAAACTAATGAAAATGGCTTGAAAACTTTGAGTTTTAATGATAAGAACAAAATAAAGGGTAAAGTGAATAGTACCATGATTGACTTTTTAGTGTAAAAATGTGGTTTTTCGTTAAAGTAAACAGTACCGAGTGCTTTTCGTTAAAGTTCCCCTAATTTTATTCTACAATTCCATTCCATGTTGATGAAAAGTAGAAACAATTTCATGCATTCTATCTCAAAGGCTTGTGCACTGGGTACGACCTTATCTCAAAGGCTTACACGAGTTTTTATTCATTATATTCACACGTACATTATACGAACCACAGATATAGGGCAGCTCCTAAACCATTACACAAAGCTAGCATAACGCGAAACGTATGGTACATATTAAGTTATCAAGTATTAATTAAGTAGATCAAAAGGCAAGTGTATGTAGTAGAAGTCCTATAACTAATTACGGAAGCCCGTTCTTCTGATCGGATTCCTTGGCCAACTAGTCGTCAGCATTCCTGACCACGAAGAGCTCTTTCCAATCTGTTAAAGGCATTAATAAATGATGCACTTGCACCAATATTCATGAACAACTCTTTCAATTTGTCAAACACCTGAAGAAGCTGCTCAAGTTCTCTTTGATACAACCTTTTCAAAACAACTGCAATTTCATGGTACGACTTTGTTACTGCAATCACATTGCAATAATGCTCCATGCTGGCGAAGGCGAACCACCCCAAAGCTGGAACCATGATCAACAATTCTGAGGTTACGGCAAGAGTTCCCGACGAGAGGCTAATGAACTCAGATAAATCTGGATTTTCACAAGCTTGGAGGATCTTGACAGCCAATGAACCGATGAAAACCAAAACAGCAACAGTAAACGCCACTACCATGACGTATTCCGTGGAAAACAGAGATACTGCAGCAGCTCCTCCGTACCCAAGTTGGAGAAGCCCGGCTAGCGTGGTGATGGCAGAGATAATACACTTGTGAAATACATTTGAAAAACTTTGACGATAATGTTCCCGAGGCTCGCTTGTGCTATATTATAATTCTACGGTTAAAATTTTTTATTGGGTTAGAAGCATTTTCCTTCTAGGTACATAGTGATAAACAATTTAGGCACAGCATGCAGAGGGGCGTTGGGTATGTGCAAAAGGTGCAGTGACATAAGGTTCCGAATTTTTTAAGGGCCCTAAAATTTTTTATCCTCCCATATATTACATATGAGAATAAATTTATAATAAAAAAGTTTTAAATTGAAAAGAAAAATCATCAATCATATGATTTTATCTATATTGCAATTGACTAAGTGAGCTTATATGTGTCAGAATACAAAGGAGTTCTTGTTCATCATATGTGTTCTTGAGAGAGAAAGAGAGATTCGAGAGAATACCAATCTTAGAGAGAGAAATGAATTGTATCTTGTATGTATTGAATGAATGAATTGTGTTACAATAGCTATACATATATATAGACAAGGCTATCTTAGTCACTAAGTAAGTTAACAACTTTAACTACCTAGCAACCTAATCTACGTACACTTGCCAATATTTGAAACATCTAATACATCTTTACATCCCCCCGCAATCTCATGCTTGATCGAACTAAGCATGAGATTGGAACAGTGAGACTGAAACAAAGGTGCAGCAAGGCCCTTGGTGAGAATATCGGCAAATTGTTCTTTGGAAGACACATGAAAAACATTCAAATCTCCTTGAATCACCCTTTCCCAGACAAAATGGTAATCTATTTCAATGTGCTTCACCCGAGAATGAAAGACGGGATTAGAAGATAAAGCAATTGTTGAAATATTGTCACAATAGATCACTAGTGCAGTGAACACAGAAACATGCAGGTCACACAATAATTGTCGAATCTAGGCCAATTCTGCAGCTGCAATAGCTAGTGCTCTATATTCTGCCTCAGTCGAAGATCTTGACACGGTGTGTTGCTTCTTAGAAGCCCAAGATATTGGACTTGAACCAAAGTATACAATATGTCCGGAAGTTGATCTGCGATCATTAGGATCACCCGCCCAATCTACATCACTGTATGCTTGCAGATGTAATTTTCCAGGTTTGAAGCTTAGACCATAGTATATTGTTCCACTAAGGTATCGAAGAATACGCTTGACTGCAACAACATGAGAAGTCATGGGAGAATGCATAAATTGACAGCATTGATTGACAGAAAAGGCTATGTTTGGCCTTGTAAAAGTCACATACTGCAAGGCCCCAACAATGCTCCTATATTGCTCTGGACTGTGATAAGGAGCGCCATCATCTTTGAGGAGTCTATGATATGGTAAGCAAGGAGTAGGACAGGGCTTGGAATCTTGCAAATCAACTTTGTTTAACAGATCCTGGATGTATTTGGACTGAGAGACAAACAGGCCACCAGATTGATAAGTAACCTGCAACCCCAGAAAGTAATTCAACTGACCCAAATCCTTCATTTCAAACTCTTTGGTTAATTCCACAATAACATCATCAATCAGTATAGATGAACTGCTTGTAAGAATAATATCATCCACATAGAGTAACAACACAACCGTACCAGCATCAGTATGTTTAACAAATAATGAAGGATCTGCAAAAGAGGACTTAAAACCCAAACCAGGCAAATAGCTTGTAAATTTTTCATTCCAAGCTCGAGAAACTTGCTTCAACCCATACAATGACTTATTGAGCTTACACACATACTGAGAAGGATGAACTGCACTTTAAAATCCAGGAGGTTGAGTCATATACACTTCCTCATTTAACTCACCATGCAGAAATGCATTTTTGACATCTAATTGGCCCAATGACCAATTGAATTGAGTTGCCAAAGCCAGAATCAACCTCACAGTGGTTGGTTTAACAACAGGGCTTAAAGTCTCACTATAATCAATACCTTCCTCTTGATTATATTATATTCTTTGGCAACCAACCGGGCTTTGTACCGAGCTAACCATCAGAGTGTGTTTTGATCCGATATATCCACTTACAGCCAACCAAATTCTTCCCAGAGGGTAGAGGAACTAAACTCCAAGTTTGCTGAGCATGAAGAGCATCTATCTCTTCTTTCATAGCTACTTGCCACTCAGGACTTTTACACGCAGATTTATAGGAAGTAGGTTCAGTGTCTTTTGCAGATGCCTGAACAGTTGCTGTGAACACTTTTCGTTTTGAGATTCCACTTTTGGACCTAGTTTGCATGGGGTGCAAACTAACCGAGGGAATGGGAAGAACAACAGGTAGTTGTTCTATTTGAAAATCTGGATCAATAGGGATTCGATACTGTGTAGAACTCTGAGATGCTGGCTCATGGGTAGAGAAATCCAAAGATTCTGAGGCATTAGAGGGAAGTGTTTGCAATAACTCTGTGGATCTAGGAGATATGGAATGCGAAGACTTTGAGGCTGTAGGGGATGAAGCAAGTGAAGAAGATGTTTGATGAGGTATGACTAGGTTTTGGGAAGTGACTAAGAGTGGTAAGGACCGTGGTATATGAACAGACACCTGTGACTGAGACAAAATGTTATGAGATTGAGTGGATGAGTGCTGAGAAGTAGAAAATGGAAAATCAAATTCATCAAATAACACATGTCTGGAAACCATGATTTTGTTTGTAAGAAGATTAAGACACAAATAACCTTTGTATTGTCCTGTATATCCTAGAAACACACACTGAGTTGTTTTGGGTTGCATCTTAGTGGTATTATAGGGTTTTAAAAGAGGATAACATGCACAACCAAAGATTTTAAGATGAGAAATTTGAGGAGGTCGACCAAAAAGACATTTATATGGTGAAAACATGTGCAAGGTTTGACAGGACATTCGATTAATAAGGTACACAGAAGCAGCACATGCATGAAACCAATACTTAGAGGACATGGAAGCATTTTGTAGAAGGGTGATGGCAGTTTCTAAAATATGTCGATGCTTTCTTTCTGCAAGACCATTTTGCTCAGGGGTGTAAGGGCATGATCTTTGATGAACTATACCCTTATCAAGTAGGAAATGTTTAAATTGATGACTGGAGTACTCACCCCCTCCATCACTTTGAAATACTTTGAGATGGGCAAAAAATTGAGTTTTCAAAAACTATAAAAATGAGCAAAGATATTGAACACTTCACTTTTATTAATCAATGGAAAGATCCAAGTAAACCTGGTACATTCATCCACAAATGTAACATAGTATTTGTAACCTTCAACCGAAACAGTAGATGAAGGTCCCCAAACATCACTATGTATCACCTCCAAGGGTTTTACAGTTTATTTGCAGGGAAAACAAAAGGAAGTTTGGTAAATTTTCCCTCTAAACATGATTTACAAATAGAAGACACATGAGAAATAGGCATAGGGATATTGGATTGTTTTAACATTGTAGATGTCACAATGTTGGAAGGATGGCCGAGCCTGTGGTGCCACAACGTTATTTTGACTTGATGTCCAAGAAAACAGGATTGTGTGGAAGTGAATGCAGATGGTTGATGTGCTTTATTGATGAGATGTTGTGGAAGAGATAAGAGAATGAGGTATAGGCCAGCTCTACACCATCCCTGGAGAAGTATTCTCCTTGTGACCTTATCCTGGATCCAGTAAGAAAACTCATCACATATAAATCGACATTTGTTATCCTTACAAAGTCTATAAATGGATAATAAATGTTGAGATATATGAGGAACATGTAGAATTTTGTGTAATTCAAATGCATATTAAGGTGTTCTTAGTGTACTGGAGCCAATATGAGATATGTTCAAACATGAACCACTAGTTGTGGTTACGGTATCTGCACCAGAGAAGGGAGTTACGAGATTAAGGTTTGCCAAATCAGAAGTCATGTGAGATGTTGCTCCTGTATCAGCCACCAAAAACTGGTCCGAAGATGCTGATGGTTGAAAAGTTGTATGCATAGCAGATAGAGTAGAAGATAGAGCCCTTCCTTGGTGTGAGAAATCGGTTCGATGATAGCACTGTAAGGCAGTATGTCCAAATTTCCAACAAATTTGACACTGTGGCTTAGAAGGTGGATTAGGAGAGGGGGAATGTCTCTGGAAGCAATCAACAGCAACGTGTCCTCGTTTGTTACAAATTTGGCATGTTGGAATATCATAACCATGGTCAGGACATGTAGAAACATGTGGTTTTCCTGGACCAAGAATTCCTGCACTGGAATTGGAAAACCCAGAATTGAATCGAGGAGTTGAATTATAGTTGTTTCTGCCTCTTCCTCTGCCTCTGTAGCTGAAACTGTACCCTCCATTGTGATTAAAAGAACCACCATTATAAGTACCAGCATTGATTGAACTATTAGGACTATAGGTCTATGATTGAGTTTGATTAGACCATTCTCCTAACATCAGAGCCTTTCCTTTTCCTGTGTTCTCATTTACCATCATTGCAGACACAAAAGATTCACTCACAGAATTATTTTCAACAACAGCTTATTCGGCTAATAGCTAAGACCTGCAATCCTTGAGTGAAATAACATTGTCTCTCCCCCTTATAACTGTTCGAAAAATATTATACTCAGCAGGCAAGCCCTTAAGTGCCAAGATTACAATGTCATCATCTTCAAAGATTACTCCTACAGCAGAGAGATGATCTCGTACATCCTTGATCCTTTGAAGATATTGAGAGACAGAATCATAGCCTTTCTTGATATTCTGCAACTTAGTTTTCAACTGAAAAATACTTGCTTTCGTGACGGTGGAGAACCCATCCTTCAAATTAGTCCACATATCATGAGAAGTAAGACAACCAATGATGCAAGACATGGTTGTGGGAGATAGTGTAGCAATGATCAATTACATGAGAGCACGATCATGTATTTTCCAAATCTGAAACTCCTCAGTTTCCACACTTTCAACATCCGAATCATCTTTAAACCAAGTAGGACATGGATGAGTTCCAGCAACAAAGTCAAAATTACTATGACTTTCAAGAAGTACTCGAATCTGATAATTCCATACAAGATAATTTGTATCATCAAGCTTCACAGTTACAGAATTAGAGACATTCGTAATGAGATTCGTGATTGGAGACTGTACAATCTGTAGTTGTGCAGCAGTCACCATATTTGCAAGAGTTTGAGAATTCGTGAAAAACGATCACAGAATTATGGTTTCAGAAAGAGAAATCGGACAAAAAAATCACAAAGAATTCAACTTGGAGAAATCTTGTAAACTGCTGATATCGATGCAAACAAATCTTGTAAGAAGCAATTAATCGAACACTTGGCGTGCACAATGAGACATATATGTCAATAAAGCAACTGCGCAGATACAACCTCACAGAGCTATAGAGAGATGAAAAACAAAGAGCAGAAATTCACACCAGAACAAAGTGATCAGGAATGCGGAAGCAAACAAAGCAGATCAGGATCGAGAAATCGTCATAACCGGCGAGGATACCATGTTAAAATACAAAGGAGTTCTTGTTCATCATATGTGTTCTTGAGAGAGAAAGAGAGATTCGGGAGAATACCAATCTTATAGAGAGAAATGAATTGTATCTTGTATGTATTGAATGAATGAATTGTGTTACAATAGCTATACATATATATAGACAAGGCTATCTTAGTCACTAAGTAAGTTAACAACTTTAACTACCTAGCAACCTAATCTACGTACACTTGTCAATATCTGAAACATCTAATACATCTTTACAATATGGACACACACGACGCTGAGATTCTCCAAACACCAAGGTAGACATGTGATGGCCAACACCCGAAGGTGACGAAGACATACTAATATGCATGAGAACCAATGAATATAAATAAAACTTATAAATTTAAATACAATAAATGTGCAACTTAGGAACTTGTTTAGAGCATACAACTAAACTAGAATACTAAAAAGAAATAATATAAAATTGAATGAACAAAGGAATGGGTCATACACCAAGAGGACTCGAAAATGCCAATGCGAGAGTGCCTTGACGCCGGAATTGTACGCCTCGAATATAAGTCTTGAGGGGGCTCAAAACAAACATGAGTGGACCAAGTTTATATATATAGTAGGTTTTTCCGAAAACCCTAACATGCCATAAAACTTCTCATGAAACATATCTTGTATATAGTGTGCTAACTAGTCGTATCAATATCTCTCTTATGGATAAAACAGTGCCCTACACACGCCCGCCCAAAGGCAATATAAGTTTCATCTTCCATATGCACATAACAATGCCCTACACACGCCCGCCCAAAGGCAATATAAGTAACATCGCCCGAAGACATAACAATGACCACTAGATACACACAAAACCATTGAATATAGTCTTTCCAAACATAGGTACATATATCTGAAAAGCATCTTCATAGTATAAAGTCATTCATCATCTATACTATAAAGAAGTGTGTAAAAACATGTTCTAAATAGTATATCGTCATCCATTAGATATTCTACAAAGAACATGGGTTTGATAGAAAATATAGTATTCCAAAATATTATAAGTAAGCATAATATGATAATCATATAAGTTAAATCCAATTCACTCATCAAACGTTTCATAAAAAGTAATCATTAAATCATGTTTTTCATGTATACATTTTTAATATTAAAACATACATTTTAGAAGGGGTCCAATCATAAATACTTCGCCATCGAAGAGCCACACAAACTAGCGAAGACGGAAACGCCACAATAAATGCACATATGCACATAAAGGGTCCAATTAATAAAACTATACTCAAAAGATTTAATTTCGGAAAACGGACGTCATAAACGAATTCAGGATGTCGAAATTAGCCTAGGAAGGATCTTGGACAAAACCCGAAAAAGTCAACCCAAAAATCAACGTTGACGATCAACGGTCAAAGTCAACGGGTCTGGGTCAACTGGCTAGTTAACTAGGCTGGGTCAACTGGCTAGTCAACTAGGCTGGGCCGAAAGCTAGTGGGTTGATTCCATGGCCCAAAGGCCTGTGTTTGGGTCCTAAGGATTTTGGGCTGGGTTATAAAGGGTTTTGGGTTAGGTTGAGTAGCCCGCGAGCCTTAGGTTGCACAGCCCACGGTCTGGGTTTGGAAGGGTCTTGAGGTTTAGAATTGGGCTGGGTTCACCAAGGGTTTGAGCTCGCCAGCCCGACCTGAAGGCTTAGGCTAGTTTTGGGATGGGTTTGGGTCACCGGGTTGAGCTTGCTCCGTTTTCAGGCCAATGAATTGGCCGGTTTCTAGGCACCACTTCAAACGCTCATAACTTCTTCGTTACTCAACCAAACCAAGTGATCCAAAAATGAAAGTTGTAGTACTCGACGAGATGAAGAGATTGATACTCTGCAAACCGGCCAACCCGCCGTATTTGGCTGGAAAATGCCTCGAAAAGGGCTGTGCTCGCCCGAAAACTGGGTTTTTGGCCTAAGGTTTGGGCTATTTTCAAAGACTCGTAACTTCTTCGTTCTTAACCAAATTGAGTGATTCAAAAGCCAAAACGTAGTTAGTAATGTGGAAAAGAGATTCATACAAGTAGGGACCGAGTAGTGGCCAAAGTTGGCCGGAAAATGGCTTGAAAGATAGCCAAACGGCCACGGCCTGGAAATTTCCAGATTTGCACAATGACTTTCCTTGAGCATTTCCGAGTTCCTACAGCACCAAAATCACCCAAAAACTTACTAATCGTGAACCTAGACACGACCTACAACTATAGGGGCAAATTTTGAGGCTTACCTTCGTCGGAAATGGCGAGAAATGGCCGGAGAAGTTCCTTGAACAGTGCAGCTCGGGGGTGAGTTTTTGAATGGTTTTTCTTCTATTTTCTTGGTTCAAGAACTCGTAGGGATTATGAGGGAAGGTTGTGGTGTAGTCTAGGTTGTTGTGTGTTGTTTGTGTTGTGCTAGGATAGCACCAAACCCGTTGGAACCAACTCAAGCTAACCCACAGGAAATTTATCAAATGAAAATGCAAGAACAAAATATAAAAGACACAAAGATTTTAACGAGATTCCTCCACAGTCAGTGTAACTGGAGTACGTCCTCGGAGCAGTAGGAGCTCACCCAATAATCCACTATCAACCAAATGGGAGTTTACAAAGTGTTGGCAATCTCACAACCCAAAAGAAACAAATAGAGAAAGAAATATAATGAATAATTTCTTCTCTATACATATAGCTCAAGGCTATTACAACAACAATTACTTTGGTTGATGATTACTAATCAAATGAAGCAGCAGCTTCTTCTTCTGTTTAGGCTCTCTGCAACTCTCCCTTGCTCTCTGCAAAAAGAGCTCTTTCTTCTCTCTTGTTTTCTTCAAACCGAAATGAGCTCTCTCTTTTCTATTTGCTTCAAAGGCAACTTGTACTCATATTGAACCAACACCCACGGGTGTTGAAGAGAACAAAAAACATTTTCCCTATTTTCCTCCCCAAAACAAGGAAAGGTGTTGTCCACCTTCTTTCTTTATAATTTTTTTATAGCCAAAAGTTGTTTGGATTTTTGTCTAGCCGAAAGTATTTGCAAGTTGGCCACTATCCAACAGTTTGAGTGAAAACCCTCTAGGAGGGTTGGTTTTTAAGAGAGGAAGAAAAGGGCCGAGAGTGAGGGAGAGAGTTTGTGAGAGAGAGAGTTACAAAATCAGAAAAAGGGGAGGGAGAACCGGGGGACCAAAATCAAGGGTGGGCCCTTAGGCACACCATTTAACACCAAATGCAATATTTTATACAAATGAAATCCAATCGAAGTGAAAATACAAAAATACCTTTCTGTTCCGTAAATTCTGAGATGGGTTGTTACATATACAGTTATACTTAATATATTAATTTTCTACTTTTATTTAGCAATAAAAAACTTGTGTATTACTTTCTTCCACAAATACAAATGTATTTCCATATCTCTCTTTCAGTTGTGCCCTATTTTTTCATAGACAAACCTAAATCATGATTTTATGTTAGAGATTATTCAGTTAGTAAGAGTGAGATGCTGATTTCAATTAAGTTTGAATGTTGATAGTTGAGCTTTGTATAAATATATTGTTCAAAAAAAAAATTAAATAAGGAGGATTTTTTTATTAAATTCGCACAGGACCCCCAAAATGTCAGAGACAACCCTGGTAGCATGGTTCACCCTATCATCATTGACATGTTCTCAACTTAAGCACATATTATTAGGTGTGGGGTTTTATCACAAAAAGCCTCGGTGATGTTAGAAGTGAAATCTCCAGTATTTCTAATGTGAGACTCTGGCATATAATTTAAATAATAGTGATGGCCTCGCTTGTACAAAAATAGACGTAAATCATACTATTATATGGAAAACTTACTTACGAGTGCGTTAATTTTGTATGTCTAATTACATGGATTGAAGAAAGCAAATGCTAAAAATTTGGAACTTTCTACTTATTTTTGTGAAAGAAAAAAAATTTGTACTTACTTTTTGTAATTAAACATTTTTCTAATGGAGTGGATGCAAGTATTTTTGTAATCAAAATAGTCTCAGATTCAATGTAACTGAAAAGTTCATGGCCGCAAAGGCTACTTTGCACCAAATACTACAAGGGTGATCTTGGGAAAATAATTGTTCATGACCAAAAGTAGTAGTAGTTTCAAGTATATAAGAGCAGCTAAGAAGTAAGAAGCTAGATAGGATGTACATACGCATGATGAGATGAAGATGAAGGCAGAAAGCTCAAATACCCATGAATGAAGCAAGTTTTTAATCCAAAATCAGAGCTTCGAAGGAGTCTACAGTTAGCAAGTTCTTGGTGATGGCGATGAAGAAAACCCAAAAGGCAGTGATAAGAATTTGTGAAATCAATCGACAGAGAGAGAATTTGAAGAAGAAGGAATACTTTCAATTGGAGAAGAAGATGGCCGCACAAGCAGATCGCAAGAGAAAGAGAAAGAACGATGAAATTCTATTTTAGCGTTTTTGAGAACCGGACTAAATAATACAGAGGTTTTTGAGCAAAGAAGTTATACGGCGTGAGTTGTATAGAATGGGCGGGCCCTGATAAATTAACCGGTGGCTATTTAATACGTAGTAGCACCAAACACCTGATTCGTATTAAATAGTCATATCCGATGTCTAATACGGCATGTCAAACGAGACCTCAGTTAAGAAGCTTTTATATATAGCAAGGCAAATAAAAAAGGCGTTTATATAGGAGACAAGTAGTGTTGATATGATTTATGAGGTTAGTAATTTAGTTGCCAGCAAGAGTTTTAGTCGTTTGTTTGTATTAGATGCGACGTGAACATGCGTTTAAAATTGGTGTAATCACCATGTCATAAAATTGGCATAATCACCATGTCATAAAATTGGCGACCGGCTCACTCCCAACTCAACTCACTCTGAAGTGTGAATGCGTTTCTGGTTGGACTATGAAGCTGCAATTAGGGATCATGAAGCTGCAATTTGGGATTGGTTTATATATGATGGATATACCCAAGGGTCCATCATCCTAGCTAGGGGTGGAATTTTTTGCTAAATTACCATACCAACCGTCCCATATATTTTTGGTACGGTAATGGTATTCAAAATCATTACCAATAGTATACCGTACCGTACCACTACTATTAATATTATATTATATTTATTCATTTATATATAATTATGTATTATTATCATTATATATGCACTTTATATTTTTTCCTAGTCATTTATCCAATCATCTCACCCTCTAACCTTTACTTTCCTAATAAAAAAACCTAAGCCTTCTTGCGCTGCGACTCTTCATCTTTTCACTCATCTAGCCACCGACTTCATCTCTATTGGTCCAATTTCGGCGACTCTCTCTCTCCGGAGTCCATCTCATCTTCTCCTTCATCAAATTGGGATGTCTTTCTCCCTGGCTTCGTCTATCAAGTTAATTTTTGTACAATTTTAAAGAATGTAGAGATGGAATTTAGGAATCTTTGTACTATTTTTTAGGGATATTGGGTTCTTTCAGCAATTCTTTCATTTATTTACTTATTGTTTCTTAAATGAATCTCTATAAAATTCTCATAATTAAATAAAAAAAGTTTTAGAAACCCAAGGAGAGTGGCCTAAACACATTTGGACCTTAAATTGGGTTGAAAAAAATAAAAATCAAATTTTGGCTCAAAACAAAATGGTAATTACTATTACCATACCATGCCAACCGAACTATTTAGCATGTCGAAATTCGGTATACCGAAAGTTTGACAAGGTAATGATAATAGATTTTGTCATACCAAAACTTTAGTATGATAATTGGTACATGGGTTTTGGTAGGATGATCGTACCAATACCACCCTTAATCCTAGCTACATAGTCTGCTCCTTTGTTGACCAAAAAGCTTTGAGAACAGAGGTCCCTTTATTTGTGTACAAGTTAGTAAGCCTGATTAATAATCTAATAATCTCGTTTTCTTGATTTTGCAAACCGTGGAGTGAGGGATAATCTTTTGTTTGCGGTTTGATTTATTTTTGCTAATAGTGATTTCTTTGACTTTCTAATACTAAAATCGAATTTTGAAAATATTAAATAAATATACTACCATCGAATCAATATACCCTTCTAAATGAGAGCAACGAGAACAATTTTCATAACACGAGTATACAATCATTTTAGGACGTAAAATGTCACGATGACAATATATTTCTGCTATGAAAGTCTTCATTCTAAAAAATATTCTAATTGACCCCTAATTATGAATTTATGAGAAGAAATACTATATGTTGTGAAAAGTTCGATAATCTACTCTTAGTTCACGTTCTTGTCTAAACTACAATTGTATCATTCATTTTGATATTAAAGAACAGCAATATGATATTCCAAACTACTCCAATTAACCAGAAGAAATTGAACAGAGTGTGGCAATTAAAACAAATTTTGTATTCTAGTCCATACCTACTATATATATGATACTAAAAAAAGTATAGAATCGAACACACAACATCGATCGGATAAGTACTTGATGTTTTCACCTTTTCTCTTTGGTTATAGTTATTGGTTTTGATTCGACAGTTGTATTTGGCCCAACTGGTCTCCAGGAAAGGGTCCAAGAGAACGAAATTTCTTTCGGTGCCATTTCGAAGAAAGCTATTTCTGGTTAATTAGTACAACATTCCGACAACATAAATCTCTAGTTGGAAGTACCCTTTAAACAATAAGACGCGATAAACCAGCTGAGGTTGTTTTTGTTTTCTCATTATGTTTTGATGTACCTTACAACATCAGTTACTAATATTGTGAGATTACGGCTTGATCTGCATCTGATTTGTCTCAACTGAATGCATCTTTGCCTCTAATCTGATCTTGGAAATGAAGGTTTAACTATGGTAGTACCTGAAACTTCTTCCATGTGTCGATGAGAGCAGCGAGACTCTTTGTAGAACTACCGTCATCTCCAACCGCCCTTCTAGCCTCGTCTCTAATGTGCAATGCTTGCAACTTCAACAAATCGTTTCCCATTACCTCACTAACCGTCTGTGCAATGTCCTCTGCTTTCACCACCGTCTCCCTATCACCCCAACCCCAACTCTTATCCCACGTTCCGAGTCCAATTCTCTCCACCAAATCCGCATTGACTTTCTGATCCCCATGTTGCGGCCATGCTAATATGCGCACACCGTTCCAGAGAGCCTCAGACAAAGAGTTCCAGCCACAGTGACTTAAAAACCCACCGATGGCCGGATGGCTCAATATCTCCTCCTGGTTCAGCCAGTTCTTCACTGCCAATCCATTTTTCTTCACCCTCTCCAATAATTCCTCTCCAAGCACCTCAGTCAGTTTCTCATCATCTTCGATGTCAACTTTCTTATCCTTCACCGCCCACAGAAACCTGCAACCGCTCCTCACCAAGCCATCACCCAACTCTCTAATTTGCTCCCTGGACATGGCAGTCCTGCTCCCAAAGCTGACATAGAGCACTGACCCAGTTGCTTGATCATTAAGCCATTGCAGTTGTTGGCTTGTCTCGAAGAAACATGGCGCTAGCGGTCCGATGGAAATTACTGACGTATTTGTGTACAAGTTAGTAAGCCTGATTAATAATCTAATAATCTTCCGTTTTTTCATTGATTTTGCAAACCGTGGCAGTGAGGAGATAATCTTTTGTTTCGGGGTTTGATTTATTTTTTAGCTCAATAGTGATTTCTATTGACTTTCTAATACTAAATCGATTTTGAAAATATTAAATAAAATAATACTACCATCGAATCAAATATACCTTCTAAATGAGTAGCACGAGAACAGATTTTCATAAACACACTATACAATCATTTTAGGACGTAAAATGTCATGATGACAATATATTTCTGCTATTGAAAGTCTTCATATCTAAAACAATATTCTAATTGACCCCTTAATGATGAATTTATTGAGAAGAAATACTACTATGTTGTGAAAAAGTTCGAATAATCATACTCTTACGTTTGACGTTTCTTGTCTAAACTTACAATTGTATCATTCATTTTGTATTAAAGAACAGCAATATGAATTCCAAACTACTCCAATTACCAGAAGAAATTGAACAGAGTGTGCAATTTAAAACAATTTGTTATTCTAGTCCATACCTACTATATAATATGATACTAAAAAAGTATAGAATCGAACACACCAACATCGATCGGATAGAAGTACTTGATGTTTCACCTTTTCTCTTTGGTTATAGTTATTGGTTTTGATTCGACAGTTGTATTGGCCCAACTGGTGCTCCAGAAAGGTCCAAAGAGAACGAAATTTCTTTCGGTGCCATTTCGAAGAAAGCTATTTCTGGTTAATTAGTTTACAACATTTCGACAACATTCAATGAAGCTTAAAAATGACGCGATTAAACCAGTGAGGTTGTTTTTTGTTTTTATCGTTATTTATCCTCCATCAGTTATAATATGGAGGATACGGCTGAGGCATTAATTGTCTATGAATGCATCTTTGCAATCCATCTCAAGATAGTAAACACAGAAGGAAAATTCTATGTGTCATGACCGAGACTCTTTGTAATAAGTAATTCGAACCGCTAAGTCGTCTTAATGTGATGTTGCAACTTCACAATGTTTCCATTATCAAACCAGTCTGTATAATCTCTATACTTCATATCACCAAAATTTATCCCACGTTGGTCCAGCTTCCAACCAACCGCAGATTTCGATCCCCATGTTGTATGCTAATATTGCACCCTTAAGAGGCCTTCGACAAGAGTTCCACCACAGTGACTAAAACCAAATGTAAGGCCAATCTATCGGTTACAGTTCTTCAAGCCATCCATTTTTTCTAACTCTCCCAATAATTTTCTCCAAGCAACCTAGAGTTCTCATATGATCTCTCGATGTCATTTCTTAATCCTCACCGACAGAAACCGAGATCCTCAAACCTCACCATTTCTAATTTATGCTTCCAATCAGTCCATTCAAGCTGAATAAACTACAATGCTACTAAATGATGTGGCTCTCTAAGAAACAAACTAGCTTAAATTACGACGGTAGTTTCTCAATACTTTGCCTTTCTTTAGTGCTCCCAAAACTCAATCTCTATACTTTCCATGTGTTAAAAAATTTTATTCTTATCAACCACTTCTCTATAAATCTTCAGCAAATTTTACTTTCCTGCAGCATGGTGAGGATCCGTGTTGATTTTTGGATTATTCAAACCAAGAAATTTATTGAGCCAAGCATTAACCAATAGTTACATTATGGCAGATATGTGAAGAAATTGTAGTTTGGAGTCGAGAGAATCGGATATAGAAACATAGGTAAAGCTCATCTTCAGCAATGAAGAGTAAATTAGAAATTCACAAGAGACAAGAGCGATACAATGGAGAAAAGTTTTTCGGAACAACAGGTTTCAGAAGGAATGAAACACTTTGATAAGTGGGAACAATAGAATCAAAGTCTGTCTCACATCTTCTTTGAGTATCTCTGACACAAACATCATGTACCATAACGCTGCCAAGCAAGAGGCAAGGCCATTTCGGCACTGAAGGAGATACATGAGGGACTCGTAGATCGCCAAAGCTTTTTAAGAGATATGTTTTGCTAATAACATAATTAGCTAGAGCGATCAATTTCATTTCTGTACCGATGAAATATATGCAGAATGTACATGAGAAAGACCGTGAAAAAGAGTTTGAATAGCGTGAGCTTAGTCATCCACGTCTAGCAGAAAAGCAAGTTAAAATCTTTCTTCTAAGAAAGTTAACCATAAAAAAAGATACTCTGTTTTTCTACTCAGTAAAATTTCGTGAAGGAGGTTAAAACTAATTTTTCCCTATTCGCACAGATTGAAGACGTGGAAGATGTAATTTTCAAGTTTCAATTAGTACGTATAAAAGTACAAATTTGACACACTCATATAAATTCAAAGTGCTGAGAGCATATGATTAAAGAGCTATAGTAACATCTCACATCATCCAATAACACATTATGTATATATTATTTTGTAGTATAATACAGAGAAAATGATCATCACAAACTACAACCAGAAAAAGAATTTGAATCTATCTCACTCACTTCTTTAAGAATATATTTATTACATAGAATTACATGATATTTCAACACAAGTAGAGTAAACTATACTGTGACTTACAACGTAAAAGAGAGCTTAGCATCAGATTCGACAAGAATGGATTTCTGTCCCTATATATAAAAATGTCTTTGCGCATTTCACTCACATACTGTAAACTTTGACAAACTCGCCTATGATTGGTAGGGTAGGTCTTAATTTATCTTTATGATGTTCCCTTTAGGTCTCAACCAAACAAAAACATACTAAGTGGAAGATGGTAGTCTTAGTTAGATACATCGGAGCTTATAAAAAATCAGAACAAATTTTTTAATAGGGGTGTCACAACGAAAATTGATATAATTCTCGTTTTTGGTAAGTCCCGAGACGTAAAGTAACTTTCCAGGTAGCGACAGACTATTGTGTGCCTAAAGTTCGTGTCCCGCGTGGTTTCAGCAGGAAGTTCTAAGGAAATGTTGTTATCTTCAACGACAACTTAAAGGTTGCGTAAGAAAATAGCTTTTAAAAAACCTAATTTTGAGGAGGGGGGAATCACAAGTTACAGGTGAGAATGTTAGAAATCAACTGAAAAATGGAGGAATTGGCTGAATGGCCGGTTGGAGTTTTGGCGGTGAGTCACGGTTCATGAATTATGTTTGGGGGAGGGGGGCTGGAGTTTCTTCTTTTTTTTCCTCATATCTCCCAAACCCGCGTAAAGCGGGAGCCTTGTGCACTGGTACGACTTTTTATAGTTCCTTTCATGCCTTTTAATAAAAAAATCTGGCAGTTCCCTTTCATTTTATTTATTTTATTTATTATTATATTTTTTAACAACTAACTTCTAACCAGCTTCCACAATTCTGATAGTTACAAATTCCAAATGTCTGTAACTATACCGTTATAATTCGAACTTCGAAATGGTTTCGTCTATGCATTCTGGGTATCGGTCTTATTAAAAAACACTAGTTGTAGTTCGAAATATCAACGAAAGATAAAATACTTGATTTTGAAACTTCCAACTTCGATAACTAATCAATTACTAACTTATATTAGTGGAATCAAAATTAACTAATAAAGATAACGTAATTGCGAATACGAATTTAAATTACGAAATACGTATAAATGGTACCCCCCTTAAAAAGAGTTTAGTTCCCTAACTCACGCAACCTGAGTAAGAGTTTAGTCCCCTAAGCTTACGAAATACATCTAGGCTCAGATTTTACTTGAAGACGTGACGCAATTTTAATAGAAAATTATAGCCAAAGGGGGTGGTCTCTGCACAAATTGGACATCAGGTCAAAAATTGTAAATATAAGAAATAGTTTAGAAACATCTATAGAAAACACGTTTAAGCTTCTCTCAAAGACTACACGGAGCAAACAAACATATTTTCTGAGAAATTATTTTAAGGTGTAGCGATAAGAAGCTGGAAGGACGGACATGTTGCGTAATGTATCGTTATGATGCTAGAATTTTAATTTGAAATAAGATTGTTTATGCTCGAATTCCATTAATTATATTACTTCCTTGTTCACTGTCTTATCTTCTTATAGGTTTACATCTTATTTGTGTTTTGTAGGTTGTAAAGTAAAGAGTGAAAAAAGGCTAAAAAGGCTTTTACAAATCTATGCCTAGCAAGAATTGCGATCAGCTGAGTTAAACCGTATTGACTCGCGGGGAAAGAAAGGAGATGTTCCAATTATATTCAGGAAGCCACGGATGTCTATTTTCGTGAATTTTACAGTTCGTGAATATCATTAGAGGGAGTATGGCGTTTCAGTCATAAGGTCAGGCTACGCGCGATACAAAGTTTTCTAGAAAGTTGTATCAATTTATAAATTAAAGGAAATTAAAATTCCTATTTATTAGGTTTAAAAAGTAGGAAAGCCAAGTTAGGAGAAAGTAAATTAAAGTCTTTTTACTATATGAGACTTTAAAGCTCAAGCTTGATAAGGAAAGAAGGCTAATTGCTTGTCGTTACAACTAGAGGGAATGAAGGGATGATAATAGACCAGCAAAGGGGATGTGAGATACAAAAAAAAAACAGAATTAGTGTAGTTATTGACCATATAAAGATGTGAACTTTAAGTTTGTATGGCATGGCAACCCTGAGATGATAACCGAGAAAAGATGAGAACTTTTCCTTTGCATGAAAGAAGAAATGGGGATGGTGAGTATTGAGATGCACTTTAAGTTTGTATAGGCATTTCTATTGTCTCTATTTATCATTTTGAGCTCAATTGTTTATAACAAAAATCGACACACTAAACTATGGTGACCAACTTAAAGTAATTTTCACACATTATTTATAGGAGTAATTAGGTTTTCATCCTTATTTTTACTACTCTATTGATTAAAACCTTATTACTTTTCAATTTTTGATCAAGGTCCTTTGTATT